AGGTTTAAAACAGCTGAAATTATAATCAAGTTTTTGATAAGTAAGTCATTGCCCTCAAATACTATACCTGAGCCATCGCTAAACCACAAATTACATCACTCAATGCATGCCTGTTTTACCTAAAAAATATTCAAATGAAGCTTGAACTTGGTTTTAGGAAAATCTTCAGAATTTTGGACGTTAAATAAAGTGATTCTATAATTTTAGCTAAAATTTAAAAGAAAACAGTACGATAGAATGACTATAATTTTAACCAGCACTGTTTAGCAGCTTGATTTAACTTCAAAGAGAAAATTGACTACAATTTTGAGTGTCATTGATAAGTAGCATGGAAAAAATGAGAGAATGATGCTATCAGTGTGAGTAGACATGCACTAATTTCAATAGTTATTGAAGATATTGTACAATATTGCTGGATATCCAATAATACTGGGTCCCAATGATACTGGTCATCCAATAATATTGGGTTCCACAATCCACTGGATCACAATTTTTTAAACTTAGTATTATTTGCATTCAGAAACATGGGCGGAAAATCGAGCTACATATCCCAATCGGGATTAGGCATGCACCAATTAATAATCAATGTTATAGCATTTAGAAAAGTCGTTCCGAATCGATTACAAAAAAGCACTTAGTGCTGCTGAATGTCTGATTTTGTTGCTCTACCAAAGTGAAGTGCTAGAGAAATTTTAATGTTATATATAGAGACTATGATAAACCAAAACCGCACTGAAATCACAGAAAATTAATCGATAGTCGATTATTTTTTTGTAGTTTTGCTCAGTTTTCGATGCTTATATTTCTGTCACAGATAACGCAAAAATGTTCTTTTCCACTTCAGTTTAGTAGAGTAAACATTTTTCTACAAAATGTTTACTCTATCAAACTTACACACCAAATTCGGGAGCTCTAAGTGCTTTTTTGTAACCGATTCGGAACGACTTTTCTGAATACCATAACATCGACGGGATACAGAGCTTCCGTTTATTCGATTCAGCAGAAAAGTGGAACAAATTTTTTTCATGGAGAAAAAGCATTTAAAACTATAGCGGGTTGAGCAGAGAAAATGAACGTTTTATTGTCAAATTAAACTTGATAAGAAAATTTCATTTTTATGCCAGAAAGATAGAAAATTATGTCTAGAGTTTATTCATATATTGTTCATCGCGCGAGCAGAACTTCGCTGAAGAAATAAATCATGTTTTGTCAGTAAAGTGGAGAGTAGTTGAGATTTTTCATATTTCCAATATTTTGAGTACAGTGAAAAGTGATTAGGGTACATCTTGATCTAAACATAGCACTAGAAACTAGACAAAAATTCTACGTCTTTTAAGGTCAGAACGAAGTTATGGAAGTTGATATGACTAGCCAAATGATGGGTTGCAAAGTGGTGTCATTTTCTCTGTTCAGTCCGTTATATAGCCTCTGCACTGGTTGATCAAATACAGTATCCGGTTGGATTGCACTTAAAACAGAAATAGACGAAGGAACGGGCACTTGTTCATCGAAGAGACGCTGGAAATATATACACTGCAGCCTGTTTTTTTCTCTCTCAAATACTTTACTTATTCAAGGAAGCAATTGGAAAACTAGCAAAAGTCTCTTTTCACTGTTCCACTTTTGAAAGTTGACTGTTGCATGGAAAAAATTGTCCATTTAAAACTGAAGTCTTTTTATTGCAACAAAGTTGATTTATTTACAAATTTCCAAAAAAAGAGCAAATGATTATCCACACGGTTGTCTTAGTTTGTTGGCTATTCCAAATAATTTGTTTGCCCATTCAGCTAGTTTTTCTGCTTGATCACCAGTACATGCTTTGGCATCTTCTTGTAAATAATGTGCAAGTTCATTTGCCAATCTTTCTATGAGATCTTGTTCATGTTCAAACATGAGTGTTTTGTCAATAAAGTCTATAGCCCATTCCAAATGTGACTGAATATTGCCGCAGAAAACAAATATCTGACCAAGGTGTTCAATATCATAAATCTGTGGAACGATTTCTTTGCCGAAAGTACCGGATGTAATTAAGAATATTCTGTTGTCTGAATGTTCGTTCACGCATTGAACGCAGTCTTCCATATTCGTAAATGTCTTTAACTGAGGTGAGATCTGCTGCAACTTCTCAAGCAGAGCAGATTCGATGTCTTTGTCTAACCAAATAATTAAATGGTGGGAATGTGCTGAAGTCATGTCAATTTTTAGTTGTTAATTTGTGGTTCTGCTTGATGCTGATGTACGTGAGAAACTGATGTGCGATATTTCATTTATAGTATCTGTTTATCACTGATGAATAATAAAATAAAAGAAAACTATTAGTAATCGTGATGAAAATCATGAATAGTTGATTACACATCGGCCTAAAGCAATTACGCAAATTACTCTTCTCTTGTAAGCATCCACTTTTAAGCGGGAGGGGGTCCTTCCCCAAACACGCCCACAGATTTGTTCAGGTTGTAGAGAACATCTTTGATGGTATGTCAATGCAATAAAAAACTCGTTGTTCAAATACTGACAGAGTTATTAATTAATTAAGCTCAAAATTGATTGAAATTTTTCCTTTCAATTCATTCGTTCAAATTCATTTATATTGAAACTGACTCATACTGATAGCATCATTCTCTCATTTTTTCCATGCTACTTATCAATGACACTCAAAAATTGTAGTCAATTTTCTCTTTGAAGTTAAATCAAGCTGCTAAACAGTGCTGGTTAAAATTATAGTCATTCTATCGTACTGTTTTCTTTTAAATTTTGGCTAAAATTATTGAATCACTTAAAGATTTTTATATTTTTACGATTATTCTGCATCTAAGTGTGTTTGGTTCTTTAGTGATTTCGGTAGATCAGTGGATGCTCTACAAACTGGCAAAAATCTTTTCAAAAACTGACAGGCATGCATTGAGTGATGTAATTTGTGGTTTAGCGATGGCTCAGGTATAGTATTTGAGGGCAATGACTTACTTATCAAAAACTTGATTATAATTTCAGCTGTTTTAAACCTCATTTTATTTAGTCGATATTTCGACCTTTAACTAGTCATTTTCAAAACGTTACAAAACTACGTGTACAAGAATTGAAAAATAAAACTTCTTTTCTTTTTTTCCCTACGTGATAACACAGAACGAAAAAGAGAAATCAAAACATCACCTAGATCATTCTTTTTTATTATAAAAAAATGGTAAAACGCTTTCTTCCCTTTGTCGAAATATCAACTAAATAAAACAAAGTTTAAAGCAGCTGCGACTATAATCAAATTTTTGGTTTAACGATGTCTTTACTAAAAGAAGCTGTCTAGAAATCTTTTTTGCGCACTGTTTAAGGTCCTTTTCATCGTCTCCAAACTAGGTATGCACCGGTTTCGGTTCTATCTATTTAGTATGCCAGAAAAACATCTAATTTTGTCTGTATCGGTTTCGGTGTGCCAACAATCAACAGACTCAAATTGCCAAAACTTGTTTTCCTCGCGATAGTTTCTGAACAGTTGTATCATCATTCAAATATGAAAAAATTGAATGAATAGAGTGCACTGTGTGGACTGAAAATCTATCCTATCACTTGATCGGTGTTCAGGAAAAAGTTGTTAAACAGAAGAAAATACTTATTCAAAAATAGTGTTGAAGTCACGCAGAATCCGGCGTTTTTGTCTCGTTAAATTAGAAAAATTGTTTGAGAACTTTTTAGTACATGACGCAAGCAGATATAAAAGTTAAACGTAAGATCTCCATGAGGATCAATTCAAACCCAAGACATTTAATCTGAACTTCGAGCTTTCCCTTCATTTTGCACAATAGTGAACTATGAGCATAGTCTCTGTTCTCATATGAAGGAAGAAGTTTCACCGTAATGAGTGGCGCAAAAAGAATAATAGCATCACGAATATTTCAAGTGAATAGTAATACATTATGAGTTGCTATGCGCTAATTCGGTTAACATACTACTTGAGAATAGACAACTGATCGGTGTTACTATTATCCTGTCTGCATAATAATGTACGCTTCTTGGAAATGTTTATTTTATGTCTCAATTGTTATATTGAAAGTAATTGAATATTCCCAAAGTGAGTCATTAAAGAATATCTTATCATTAACATCCGAAAAACATAAAGGAAGTAAGAACTATGAAGTCACTGTCGAAGGAACACGTAATATATATTTTTGTTTTGGGTTTAAGAAAGTTTAGAAGAATCGACAAGGTTGTCTGATGGTGGTGATGTTGAAACAGGTAATTATGAGCAAATGAGGAAGGTACGCATAACCGACGGTATGCTAACACTTTTGATGTTATTCTGCTATACACTTACAGAAACGGATATCTCCAGAACATCTTGGTGTACAACGTCGGAGACCACCGCCTAAAAAACCCGTTCAAAGCCACAAAGCTAGTTCTAGACCACAGAAATTGAAAAGTATCATTTTGTGTACATCAGCCCAAAACTGCGGGCAAGATATGAATGATAATGTTGAAATATCATCTCTAGGTCACAAACTGTAATATAATGGTGTAGGATAGTCAAATGTATTTGACGAACTAAAAATTATTTATATTTTATTTAATGATAAATACCCTCTAAAAGTGAAATATGAAAATATCTGAGGTAGTTGTTTGTCATTGTTTAACCGACTAATCATGATCGACATTCATAAAAATTTTAAAAGTTAAAACATGAAAATAAACTGTGTAAGGTTTGAGACAAGATTTTTGATTTTTGTCAAAAATTCCTACCAGGGTCGTACAATTTTGTTGAGGAGAAAAGGTGCAAGAAACGAATCTTTTATCCGAAGTATAGATAGCAGTATAAAAACGGCATAGAGAAGAAAATTTAAAATGTTGCTGTAGATGGTGACGCATGTTAGAAAATACGAAAATGGAGAAAATATGTTCTTTTGTCTGAAATGGCTTTCTACCTAGGGGTGGCAGTTCCCCTTTACTTTACCAGGTAAAGTAAACTAGTAAAGTTTTTGTTTGTACTTGTAATTTTCTTACTTTTCAAATATGTCGACTATAATCGTTTTAACGTTCTCCATGTAACTAACCTATATACATCCACCGGTTCCTTATACCTCAAGCGTGACAGTGGCGTTATTTCTATACGGGGACAGTAAAGTGATGCAAACGTGTTGCCGTTCGACTGTAGCCAGTTCTCATTAAGATTAAAAACCACCTAATGACAGAAAAATAACAACTTTTAAAGGCGATTTTCTTCGTTTTTCAAAGTTTGAGTACGTACTCACCATTCCTCGGGATTGCACGACGTGGGATGACATGTATTTCTCATGTACTCGACGTGGATATTAGAAAAATAGTTTTTTGCTTTTATCGGAACACATTCGGGAAAAGTGTGTTTCGAGCAAGAATGCCACAAGAATTTTGGTAGTTTCGAAAGTACTTGGACAAAGGCAAAAACTTGTTTTTCTAGTAGCCTACGTCTAGTACATTCGAAGTAGATGTCAAACCACGTCGGAAATATGGTTTACAGAAAAAGCCTACTTCTCGGAAAAAACGATTTTTTTAAAAATTCCTCTGAGAACGCAGTTTTGCTTCGCCTTTTGGAACCTTTTGTCCGTTAGGCATTTTGCAGTGCTGCACATATAGATTGTAATCTGACGGTGCGAGCTGAAGAAAGTGTTCGCTAGCAAATGATGAAAACGCCCATTAAAGGTTTGTTCTGCTGGGAAATGGGATCTCCACAGGTCTAGAAGGCCACGATGCCGTTGTTTTAAAATGTATTAAACGTGATATTCGTCATCAGGAGCTCGATTTGCACGGCTTGTCCACGTAACTCGAGCCTTCGCTGATCAAGTTTCTGAAAAAACTATTTTAGGATAGAATTGAAAGGAGCATATCACTAGATGCAGCTTTTGATGCTGATTACAAATCTCACATTATTATGTTTTAAAAGGCGCCAAAAATCCAGTTTTATAGTTTTTGAAAACTGTATTTTCAATTTCTTCACCGAGACGCTTTTCCTAAAAAAATGCCACGACACACTAATCGATAGAGAATTCAATTTTCTACAAGATGACATGTTTCTTTTTGAAGTTTAGACTCAAAACAAGCTTTTTAATCAAGTTTTAAGTTTTAAGATTCTCACATAATTCTAAGAAATTGAAAAAAAATTTTCAGCTTTATTTTCACGTTAGTCTGTATTAGATACTTAAAACTAAGTCAGATGTGAAAATGAAATCATTTGGCAATGTTTAGTGCTCCAAATGTTGTTGGAAAAAAGTGTGTCACAGCATCACGACGATAAAATACAATTGTTGAGGGATGGAAAGCTCATTGAAAAGATATTTTTTTAGCAATCAGTAGCTCGTTTACTCTTCTACAAACTTTGCTCGAGGCGCTTTTTGTTAGCTCTTCTAAATTCGCAGTAAATGAACTTTTAATGAGAACTTCGAATTTAGGGCCTTTTTTTGTCGCAGCTTCACGCGTCGAAAAGCAATTCGAAAAATTCGATTCTTTAACCACATACTTTCATTTTTATACTAAAAATAGAGTATGACGAGCTGCGTCGAATAGCGCAAGAACGAAGTTTCTAGCTCTTATAAACTTTTTGAGAAAAGCTCAAATTACTGTGTCAAAAATGTCACAGCGTCACGCTGATACAGCGACATTACCGCGAACGACGTTACCGCGAATAACATTACTGCGAATACAAAAAACGACATTACCGCGAAGACTTGTTTGTTGGAAAAGCCGAATAAATCAGGCCGGTTTTGTATTTTGTACATCATGTTTTCAAACTTAACTGACATTATGTGGTGACTAGTCATTATCTGACACAGCCACAGATATCTAGTTTCCCATCACGATAATATGTTTTATGTGAAAATACTTTTCGAACTCACTCTCATAATGCCCTCTCCCCACTTCCCTCCACATGATATACAAAGTACAAAACCAGGCTCATTTATTCTTCTTTTCCAATAAACGAGTCTTCGCGGTAACGTCGTTCACTGTAATGTCGTTTTTTGTATTCGCGGTAATGTCGTGTCACG